GGGCAGCGCGCACGCGCCGGCCGACGCCCGCGCCATCGCCCTGGCCAACCGCGCCGCCGCAAACCTCAAGCTGCAGCGCTTCCGTGACACCGCGGACGACGCGTCCGCCGCCCTCGCCCTGCGCCCGGCCTACGTCAAGGCCCTGCGCAGGCGGAAGGAGGCCCGCCTCGCACTCGCCGAGTGGCGCCCCGCTATCGACGACGCCCGCCAGTTGAAGGAGAGTCACGCTGAGATTCAACGCCTCACCGCCATCGCAGAGCAGAAGGAGGCCAAGGATAGGGATGAGGCTATCGAGAGCTTGAAGGGGCTCGGCAATTCTATCTTGTCTAATTTCGGTATGAGCTTGGATGATATTAACATGCAGAAGGACCCTAACACCGGCAGTTACAGTATCAATATGAAGAAATGACTCCCTGTCCTATGCCTTTTGTCCTCTTGTTACTAACTCTTTTCATTCCGAATCACATGAGCTTATCGTGCTCGTATGTACGCATCATGTAAACGAAAAACCTACATGGCACTCAACAACTACACTTTTTCCACCCCCCACCAATCACCAGGGGCGAGCATGCCCCAAATCGCGCCATCCGCATGCCTGTGTCCGCTGCAACAAAGCACCGCCGGCAAGCCCCCGCAAAACCAGAAAACAAGCGACAACAACCGACAACAACCGACCAAAACCCTCTCTCTCTCGCTCTTTCACTCTGTCACTCGTGATCTTCCTCCCCAAGGGCCGCCCTCTCCTGCTGCAGCGCCTTGAGCGCCTTCTGCAAATCCGGGCGCTTTCCCAGAATGCGCTGCCTCAGCACGGGGTTGGGCGCCTTCCCCGCCTTTTCCTCCAGCTGTTTAATCTTAGCCTTCTGCTCCTCGATCTTCTTATCCACGGTCGCGCGTTCGATCTGCTTCTTCGCCATGTCCTCCTCATCATTGCCCAGTAAAGCGCCTGTGATCTCGTCAAAGTCGTCGTCGTCCACCCCATAGTACGTCCCGCTGGGCCCGTCGCCGCCCTCGCCCTCCATGAACGGCGTGTCCGGCGCGGGCGTCATCGCGCCCGGCGTCATCGCGCCCGGCGTCATCGCGCCCGGCGTCATCGGCCCGGGCGTCATGGTCATGGGCGTCATCGGCCCGGGCGTGAGCGCGGACGGGGTCATGGCGGACGGGGTCATGGCGGAAGGGGTCATGGCGGACGGGGTCATGGCGGACGGGGTCATGGCGGACGGGGTCATGGCGGACGGGGTCATGGCGGCCGGCGTGAGCGGGGCCGGCGTGAGCGGTATCGGGGTCGGGTATCCGTCCGGCGTGTGCATCGGCGGGTCCGGGAGCGCGTGCGCGGCGGTCGGCGGGGCGTCCTTTGGGGCGGTCGGGGCGCGCCCCGTCGGCGGCTTGGCGGCATTGACAGGCTTGGGCGCGCTCGCGGTGACGTTGTCCGTGGTGTCCTCCTCGATGACGACGTCCTCCTCCTCGGGGACCGGCGGGCGATCCTTCTTCGCGACGAGGTTGATCTTGTTGTCGATGACGTACTTGACGCGGTGCTCGACCGACTCGACCTGCGAGTGGGAGAAGAGCCTGTTCGGCGGGGCCAGGCGGGCGGCGGCGTCCGTCGCGGGCGGGGTGAGGCCGTCCTGCAGGGTGAAGGTGTGCGGGGTGGGGTCGTCCGGCATGCGGACGACGAGGACCTGGTGCAGGTCGCCCGACTTGTAGAAGGTGCGCTTGTCGGCGGTCTTGTGGGTCTCGACGAGGCACGGCAGGTCCATTAAGGAGGCCGGGTAGGCGGCGCCGTCGACGGTGAAGGTGGCGTTGCGCGGGTCGTGGAAGTTGACGGCAAAGGTGGACGGCTTGCGGTCCTCGCCCGCGGCGTCGCGGCGCTTCGTGCTCGAGAGGGCGAAGCGCATGCGCTCGACTAGCGGCTCGGGTAGGCGCAGGATGTACTGCTCCTCGTCCATGGTTTTTGGGGGGGTTTTCGTCGTGGGAGGCAAGGTAGTGCGGCGCTCACATGACTGAGGAGGCCCTTTTACGCCGGCCTTCGCGGCGAGGGAGAGGCACGAGACTTTCGTCATCACAGTGTAGTCGGGAAGATCGAGGCCCCAGTGTCGGGAGACCGACCGATAGGGGGCGGTCCGGAGGGGATTTTAGTAAAGGGGAAAAGGGGGGTAAATAGGGTTACCTTAATGGGAGGGGGAGGAGCGGCAGGCTATTGCCTCAGAACCGCTACAGACGGTGAGCACGGTCGGGGGACGGGGTTGTCGGGTTGATGGTTCAGGTGATCGAATGTGCTGAGGTCGAAGACGAGTAGCGTCTTCGACCTGGCTTTATAGTCCTATTGACTCTACAACAAAAGTAGGCGCACTACCATAAAGGGGAGGTTGCGCCACCCACGAAATATGTCTAAA